TCTTAGGTTGTAATCTTTAAGGCAGCAGATCACCACGTCTTGTTTCCCTCAGAGGGCTGGTGGGTTCAAACTGCTAACCTTCTGGTTAGCAACCAAGAGCTTAACCATGATCCCATCAGGGTTCCTAAACAACAACATAGTTCCAGATATGCTTTGTGAACTTCCACCTACACAGCTGCCTATTCAGCATCACTATTTGAACGTCTCATTGACACCTCAATTTCCATATGTCTAACACTGAGCTTATGTTTGTTTATTTGTTTGTTTGTTTTTATGATAAGGTAGGTACTTACATCTACTAAGGTGCGTTTTACAGACTTGGGTGCTATGCTTGACCCCTCTACCTCCTGCAAACCCTCATTCATATTCAAACGATCATTGAAACTAGTCATTAATTACATCATCCTTCAGTGGCCCCCTCTCAAAACAAATTTGGTTAACACAAAGAAAATTTTATATGGATTCAATCACTGCCTTTGCACACAGCATTGACAGTGTTCTCTGTCTCTCAGCTCTAAGGAGGCCAGATCTGTCCTTTTAACTCACTCCTTTGCATTTAAGGTCACTTAGTAAACACCTCCGGAGCCATGGAGGCATAGTGGTTAAGATCTCAGCTGCTATCCAAAATGTCGGCAGTTTGAATCCACCAGCCACTCCTTGGAAACTCTGTGGGGCAGTTCTACTCTGTCCTATAGGGTGGCTATGAGTCGGAATCAACTAGGCAACAGATTTGGTGTAAATAATTAAATGAGTTAATACTTAATCTATGTAAGGAATTTAAAGCATGTGAATAGTCAAGCTATTATTAACTGGCATTTGGAATATTGCAATGGATTTATAACATCTCTTACCTCATACCCAATCTAGCTCACTCCTATACACTGTCCGCAATGCAACCTGGTTGATCATTTTTTTTTCAAATGTATATCATTTCATTTACCTGCTTTAAACTATTTAATGACTTGTTGTTTGTTTGTTTTTTTGGAGAAGACCAAGAACCTGAAAGTATCCTAATAGCCCATAACTAATGGGACCGTTAATTACCTCTATAGTCAAATCAGGGCCTATTTGTTCCTGTGCTCTGCATTCACCATCCACACTTTCCTCTTCTTTGGATTTCCCTATCATTCCGTGTTCTTTCCTTACAACTGTAAGTATTTCCCAACTTCTACTAGATCCCAACAACCTGCAATATAAATTATTCAATTCAAATATGCTTCAGAGATCAATCTTCCAAAAGGAAGACTTATTTTAAGCCCAAGACAAGGACAATTATATCACTCAGTATTTCACATCCATAATACAACAGAAATTGCAATTAGATTAATAATTTTGAAATTAGTTTTTTGATATTGTACTACAGCAAGAAGATAAAATCTATGATGGCAGGAACTATGTCTCCCTATTTATTGTGAATCTATAGTTTCCAGGACACAGTCTTACATATTATAGTTTGCTTGTTTTATACAATATGTTTGCATTTATGAAGCCAGGAGACTGAAGAAGAGTTGATGTCTCTGAATTATGGTGCTGGCAAAGAATACTGAATATACCATGGACTGGCAGAAGAAATGAAAAAGTCTATATTGGAAGAAGTACAGCCAGAGTGCTCCTTGGAAGCGAGAATGGCAAGACTTCATCCCACGTACTTTGGACATGTTATCAGGAGTAACCAGTCCCTGGAGAAGGATACTATGCTTAGTAAGGTAGAGGGTCAGCAAAAAAGAGGAGGACCCTCGATGAGATGGATGGACAAAGTGGCTACAACAATGGCCTCAAATATAGCAATGATTGTGAGGATGGCCCAGGACTGGGTAGAGTTATGTTCTGTTGTACATAGGGTCGCTATGAGTTGTAACCAACTCTAGGGCACCTAACAACAACATACAATATGTTTGCATTTATAAAGTCACAAAAAATTTCTTAGAGGTGCTGCAGAGCTTAGGTGGTCATAGTAGAGGGTAGAACCGAAGAACTCAAGCTAGCAAAGTGACACTGAGAGGGAGTGTGGTGTAGAGAAAATGCCTGTGTGAACTTTTATATGAACAAGAAGTAGACAGTATAAGAGGTCAAAGGAAAATTCAAAGTCACAGGCTAATATGAATAAATTCAATTAGAAAACTATGACTAGCATTTTAGATTTGAAAGCAGATGTTCACGTCCACATGCCTAAGAATGCCTTTTGATTGTCTTTATTTTCACATAATACTTTTGGGAGAAAAAGAATTCAGGATTGTCAGTCATTATCACGTAAATTGGGAGTTATCTTTCCACTGTTTTCCAGCTTTCATCTTTCCTTATGAAAAGTCAGCTGTTAGTATTGTCATTCTTTTGAAGGTATTATGTCTTTTTTGGTTGTTGTTTGTTTTTATTTTTAATTAAGCTTTCTATTTTTAGATAATTGTATATTTATATGTAGTTGATGAAAATAATGTAGAGAGATCCCATATACCCTTTAACAATTTCCTTCAGTAGTGGTTGTCATTAGGTGCCTTCAAGTTGATTTTAACTATAGTGACCCAATGTGACAGAGTAGAACTGCCGTATAGGGGTTTATTGGCTGTAACCTTTTTGGAGCCCTAGTGCTTCAGTAGTTAAGAGCTACAGTGTGCTATGGCTGCTAACCAAAAAGGTCGGCAGCTCAAATCCACCAGCCGCTCCTTTGAAACCCTATGGAGCAGTTCTGCTCTGTGCTATAGGGTCACTATGAGTCGGAATCGACTCAACAGCAATGGGTTTGTTTCTGTTTTTTCAATCTTTATGGAAGCAGATTGCCCAGTCTTTCTCCCATGGAGTCACTAGGTGTGTTCAAACAGCCAACCTTTTGGTTAGCAGCCAAGCACGTAACTCTTCATGTCACCGGGGCTCCTTCTCTCGGTAGTAACACTTTGCAAAACTACAATATAATGTCATAGCCAGATATTGACAGAATATTTCTATATTATCATAGGATCCTTCAGGTTGCATTTTTAAAGCCACACCTTCCTCTCTGCTGCCTCCACCTCTCTTGAAGATCTGGCAAACACCAATTTTTATCTATATTTTTTTATGTAAAGAATATTTTTTCAATGGAATCATGTTGTGTTATTTGCCAACAAGGAGTTGCAACTCATAGCAACCTTATGTATAACAGACCAAAATATTAACTGGTCCTGCGTCTTCCTCACAGTTATTGCTATGTTTGGGCCCATTCTTGCAGCCACTGTGACAATTCATCTCCTTGAGGGTCTTCTTCGTTTTTGCTCACCCTCTACTTTACCAAGCATGATGTCTTTCTGCAGGGACTGGTCCCTCCTGATAATATATCCAACAAAGTCTCACCATCCTCACTTTTAAGGTGCATTCTGGCTTTACATCTTTCAAGACAGATTTGTTTGTTCTTCTGGCAGTCCATGGTATATTCAATATTCTTCACCAACACCATAATTCAAAGGTGTCGATTCTTCTTTGGTCTTCCTTTTTCGTTGTCCAGCTTTTACATGCATATGAGGCAACTGAAAATACCATGACTTGGGTCAGGTGCTTCTTAGTAGTCAAAGTGATATCTTTGCTTTTCACACTTTAAGGTGGTCTCTTGTAGCAGATTTGCCCAATGTAATGTGTCATTTGATTTCTTGACTGTTGCTTC